CAACAATTCTTTAAAAGATTTGATATATTATGGTAAGTCCCACAGAACTCGCCATGTGTCAAAAACCAATTGGTTCATAAGAATTGCGTTCCAGCGTAGTAAGTTCCATTGGAATTCGCCATATATTTCCTCCTTATTGGTGGGTAAGACCAAATTAGCCTTTAACAACTTCAAATCATGCCTCCTCTTTTGGATTTTTAAAAGAGGTGATCCAATGTAGCAAGCTCATTGGAAGTCGCCACATGTCACCTTTCCATTGGGCCAAAATAATGCAGTAAACATATGCCCCCCAAATTCCTTGCCATGTGGAACAACTTGATGATAAGACATGGGATTTGAATTCCGCCATCATGACCCTCTTAAAATTCCAACTTCCTCTTTTCAAGCAGTTGACTTCCTTGTTTCCTTCAAAGTCTATTTATTCTGCCACTTGTTTGACAAGTACCACATATTCTGAGAAGATCCTATCCTTTTATGGCAAAAACTTCATTCCTTTTAAATTTTGAACTCTCCAAACAAACCCCCTTAAAAATCGTCATTGGATTAAGACAACCCAAGTAATCATTAGTTGAAGAGTTTCTATGCAACACGCTGCTAGTTCCTCGGTTTCCTCCATATCAACCCTTATCTGCTGCCAATTTTGAAAAGAACATTCCGTATCCTAATATAAGTCCTACCCATTTATGGCTAAAACCATCCAGTTTCCTAATCTTTATTACCTTCTTTTGAATTTTGAAAATCCCAACTACCAACCCTCAAAAAACATAACTTTCTCATTACTTCTATATATATGTGCATGTATATCTCTCATCTTCATCACAAAACCTCTCTCTTTTCCCTCTTTTTTCTCCTCCAACCAAACCCTAAAAAATAGCAAGACTCTAACTTTGTAGCAATAATGAACCATGGCTCCTGTGAAAGCTAAGAAGCTGTCTAAACAAACCCCTAGTTCCTCTCTTCCAGCTCTTTCAATTCGACCTAAAATCAAAACTCGAAGCCCTAGCTATCAAGTCCAATTACTTCTGAAATCCCTTAATCCTGTTAGGCTACATCTCAACCCTCTGATTCCCCTTGAAGATTCTTCAATCGGGCTTGAACCGGTCTTTGCAGGTGTGGCCCCCTCCGAGTTGGCAGAGTTCTACCCTTCTGGTACGTCTTCTCTCCCATTTGATTCGGAGTTCCCTCTTATTTTAAAGAAAGGGAAAAGAGTAAAGCCCTCATTCAGTATAAAGAATTGGCCACCATATCGTTCCTCTTGGTCGTACTGGGTGAATCGTCTTTCCAAAGATGAAAAGATTTCATCACAGTGGAAAAAACAAGGAATCTTTGATATTATCCAGACTAGCAAGGCCTCCATTACACTTGACCCAAACCTTCTCTTTCCAGCCCTTTCTTTCTCTGGTCTTCAACCAGAAATGCCCTTCATTTGAGATGTGGAATGATGTCCCCAACCTTAAGGGATATTTGTTGCATTACTGGCCTCAAACCTTATGGAGATGATGTTAATGCCACTCTTTATGTAGACAAATTCTCTTTTCCCACCAAAAACACTGGTAGTAAGAAATTTGTCTCATCCCACCTTCCTTTCATCAAACACTATAAAGGAAACGGGCCAGTCGAAGAGGACGAGCACATAGTTTTCCTAATCTGTTGGCTTTCTAGCTACTTGTTATGTGTTCCATCCAGGTAATTTACCAAGGACTTTATTCAAGTTGCCATATCTTTGGCCAGGAATGGAGATTTAACATTGGCTCCCCTCGTACTTTCTTATCTATACAGAGGTCTGAATGACCTCCTTACCTCCAAATTTTCAAGATTTCAAGGCCCTTTCTGGTTGTTCCAAATGTGGCTTAAGGTGTATTTCCAAGACAAAACTTCCCCTTTTGCCATGCAAACTGGAAAAACCCTTTTATGTTATCCCTTAGCTACAATAGCCCCTTCTTCTTTCAGCTTTGCTGAAAACTTTGAGTATTTTTACAACCAATGTGAAACAGGAGATGACAAATTCTTCGACCCTTTTACTTTCCTTGGTCGCATGCCATCATGGCTAGTCCCTTCTCCAGGGGTTTCCACCAAAAGCATTCTAAAGAATGAAAAAATATCTGGGCGAGCTTTCTACTTGCTCGAGATCTTCATTACAGCACTGCCAACCCTACTCTAAGGAACAGCTTTTGTGGCGTGGAATTCTACAATCTAGCTCAACTAGCTAGGCAAATGGGATTCACCCAACTCATTCCCTTACCGCCATACAAATCTCAGAACAGATACTTTGATCAAAGAGTGAGGATCACAGATGTTACCAAATTTGCTGCGATTGATAAAGCTTATGAAGTGGAAAGGTCAGCTTTCAACTTTCAAGGCCATACTAGCAAACCTCAAACTTCTAATGAATTTACCGTATGGTGGACGGCTTACATTTCTTCCACTCGGACAAAAAGTCATAAGGCCGTCTGTGACAGTATTTTAGCCTCATTCAAACCCTTATCTCCGGGTAACATGTACTTTTAGTGAGCTTTGCCTTCCTTCTTTTCTGTTCCCTTTCCCTATGCTAAGGATTTAACTTAAAATTCCTCAGATAGAAAAGAAGAAATTCTAGAGGAAAGTGATGAAGAAAAAAGTGAAGAGAAAAACACTGTTTTGCCCACTAAAGTTGAAAGTGTGGCTGAAAGTGGTAATGTGAGTCACGAACTTATCTCTTCCAGTAACGAAGAAGAAGAAGAAGTTGAGGAAGAAGAAGAAGAAGATGCCTTGTATAAGGCAAAAGGGAAAGAAAAGATATCTCAGGTATTTCCAACAAAACCAGACTTAACTTTTCCAACTTTAGATTCTCCTAATATCTCCTTTTGTAGGGACTGGCCATTGTAAAGAAAGAGTTTCAACCCTAGTTTTCTTCCTCTGATGAAGATTCCTCCAATGATGATGGTATTTCCAAAGGGCAAACCCATACTCAACATTCTGTCAAAACAATCACCAAGCGTAGTCCCACTGGAAAAGTTGCTGGAAAGGCAAAAAGGAAAATTGACTTGGAAAAGGCCGAGGAGTTCAAACAGCCAAAAGACTCTCCAAAAATAAAAAAAAGTTAAAACCAACCACCAAAGAAATTGTTTTGGTAAGTCTAATTTGTTATCTCCTTCATCCTTTTAAATTTCTAAAGTATCCATAATTCCTTTTTATACTCATCTTGTAGGGTTCGTCCAAGATCCAGTCAGACGTGCAAGTTGCTTATGGAGAAGACTTAGACCTTCAAGCCTCTATTATGGAAAGTTTGGCAGACTAAAGTGGAAAATCTTTGCCCATTCCAACTCCTACTATTGGAACATCCATTCCTTCCGGCAGTGGTGGAACTTCTACCGGCCCTCCTCCTTCCATCCCAGAGGCAAGTCTTTACACTTTTAAACTTCGCCTCCTTTCTTACTTCTTATGTAATAAGCAAAACCTTTCTTTTCTTCAGGCTACTCTGTCTTTGTCAGCATCAACGTCTTTCACAATGCATAGAGGAGCTCTTCCAGTGTTGGCCGATCTATACAAAGTGATCAAAGCAACTCAATCTTCAAGCACCTCAACTTCAACTGCCAACGTGCTTGTACTTTCAGATCCCTCATAAGACCCATTTAGCACAGCCAAAAGAAAATTGTTGTCCCACCTTGCTTATGATGTGGAAAAAATTGTGACCTTCCATCAAGATTTGGCTGGTACTATAGTTACCCTGAAGAAACACCCTGGATTTCCTGATTACATTCAAATTGCTTTGACCAAATTGCAGCATCAACTTCAATTTCTCGTTTCCCATATGAATTCCAGTTCTTCCTCTATCTTAGAATATGAAAGAAAAGCTAGACTTAGGGATAAAGCCTTTGAAAGTTTTCATCTTGCTTTAGCACCCTATCCGGAGATCAAGACACGAGCTGAGGAACTTGCAACCAAGAAAAACACCTTGACAGAAGAGCTAAACAAAATTCAGAAAGAACTAGAACAAGTGGAACGTGATGAGCTGGAACTGGATCAAACTGCTAGTGCTATTCTTGCTGAATCTGAGCCTCACAAGAAATAATAGGAAATTCTAGTAAACGAATTTCCCCAACTTGAAGAAACAAAAACCAAAGCACTGGCTACTCTTAAAGAAGCAAGAAAAATTTGGATGGCACTTGGAAATGTCCTTCTTGCCATTTGATGTGGTTTTCTCATGATGTTTTAAGTGGTTATTATGTAGTGAATAAGTAAACTCCTCCTGGAATCTTTTGTACAGCCAGCTCTTAGAGTTAGCGGCCATTTTGGAATATGTAATGGAATTATAGATCTAATGAGAATGGAGGTTATTTCTCAACTCTTTTTGGTTTTATGCCTCTTACATAAAAAATCATTGAAAACTAGAAACAAATCCTTTCCATATATTAACAACGAAGCTGTCACCAAGTGACTTTCCAAAACAAAGGAATTCAGAAGAAATAAAAGAACTTGCTAACATGGAAAAAACATGTATATACAGCAATGTCAATTATTTTCCAAGATAGGTAAAACCTGGACCATGAAATGTAGCTTCTTTCTCAACGAAAAAAGAAACTTTATACTTAGAAAATCATCTGTTCTTGGAAATATTTAACTGAATATTCTCCAAGGCCCTAGCCAATGTACCCTTTCAAGTACTTAGCTATATAAATGGCCAAAGTATGGCTATTGAGATTCCTTTCCAGCTTTCCAGCTTACTTGGAAAGGAGGGTACCAGCCAGACTACATGGCTGGTTGAATGATTGTGGATTTTCAGCTTTCAAGTACACACCATTCACAGGATGCTTGTGGGATTCTCCATCTATGTCCATTAATCTATAAGCCCTTTTTCCAAGGACGCGTTCCACCAACTAAGGACCCTTCCAATTAGGGGTCCACTTTCCATATTCCTTATCTTTGACTCCTGGTGGAAATCTGACTTGCCATACCAAGTCTCCTTCAACTAATATCTTTGCCTTAACCTTCTTGTTGTACGCCCGCATGACTTTCTTCTTTTAAGCAATAATATGGTCCAAGGCATTAAGACGAACTTCATCAAGGTCTTCCAATTCCACCAACATGGCATGGTTGTAATCTGCCGGAGTAAGCTTATCCTGGAAAGCCACTCTTGCAGATCTTATGGTCATTTCCATTGGAAGAACGGCATCATGTCCATATGTGAGCATATATGGTGTGACACCAGTACTTGATCTTTTTGAATTCTTATAAGCCCAAAGAGCCTCAGAAAGTAAGTGATGCCATGTAATACCCCTAATTTTAAAAGGATAGTCTCGGTATTTTATTTATTGAGTTATTTTATTTTTGTGTGATTAATTACGTATTTGCTTAATTATTTAATTGTTTTATTAGTTGGTTTGCTTTACCTGTTTAATCGTGTATTTAACTGTTTTATTTTATTTAACTATTTTATTTTATTTGGTGATTAATCTGTTGCATTAATTATGTTATTTAATTAATTAATTTTGTTTTATTAAATTGGTAGCAGACATAGCGTGTATTAAAAATATATATATATATATAGGTTTTGTTATGGGCCGATTATGTTTAGGTTTGGGGTTTAGTTAGACTTAGGTATTATTGTCTATAAATATATACCACACGCTTAGTTAGGGTTTTAGAACCCTATTTACGATTGTGGAGGCAGAGAGAGAACAGAGGAGGATTTCAGTAGGTGGTTTTCGCCGAAGAACTTAGGAAGACGACTGTGCAAGGCTAAAGGCAAGTTCTATTCCTAACTCTCTCCCTGTGGCTCATGTTCTTTACATGACTAATACAACTCCAGGATTATACAAAGATCAAAATTAATCTCGTTTTGCATGTCTGTGATGCTTAAAACTGTTCATGTTCACAAGTCGTTTATTGATTGTTTTAAATTCTTTTTTGCGTATCATCTGTTTTAATTCATGTAAATTGATGTATAAAGAGTTTAATTAGTCTGTAACATACTGGGAAACACTAAAATTAATTTGGTTTACATGATTTAGTTGCTTAAAATAGTGGGTGTTAGAAACGGCTAATTAATCCATTTAAATTTTTTTTACACAATACATGTCTAAGTTGAAGTCAATGATTGTATAAAGAAGTTAAGTGCCTCTTGAACATGCTGGAACCTAATTAGGATCATTAGAGACTGTAACAGAGAGGGACGGAATTCACCAGAGATGAAACAGGTGAGGGAACGAGTGAGAGCCTGCTCTCAGTTGAAGAGAGCAGGCTCCCTTTTTACAAAGAGGCGGCTCCATGGAAGCATGGAGCCGACTCTAGGGACCATGGAGCAGGCTCCCTCAAAGAGGGAGGCGGCTCCATGCACTAGGGAGGCGGCTCCCTCTTTGAGGGAGCAGGCTCTCTCAAATTTTTTTTTTTTCGGGCTTTTCAGTGACTGTTTGGGCTACAGGGCTTGGATTTTTGGATTTTTAGATTCTGGTAGAAGCTATATTTGGATGTTTGGAGATGTTCTAGGCTGGATTAAAATCTCTGATAGAAGATTTAAGCAGAATAAAGCAACCTTGTGTTTAATCCGACAGTAGACATGGTTGAAAGAAATTAGTTGCTGTCCCGGGATAAAAGGACTTTAAGTTGTCTAAATTTTTGAATGACAATCTAAAGTATTATTTTCTTAGTTGATTCTGCCTATGTGTTATAAAAATAAGCTTGTGAATTTATAGATTCTAATATGCTTATTGGGAAGTAAGTTGGTTACTATTTCTGGGAGGAAAGGATTTGAAGTCGCTGCATTAAAGGATAGCACTTCTCGTGGATGGTTTCTTTTAAAGAATCAAATATGTTCCAGTATTATAAAACTAAGCCTGTGAAGTATATATTCTATTGTGCTTACTTGGAATAAATTGTTTTACGTATATGTCCCGTTGAATCAATTATTGGACTTTGCGATGCGGAATTGATTAAGCCTGTTAACTTATATAATTTTACTATGCTTAATATTGAACCATTGATGTTTATATCTAATATTTTATTATCAATTATTGGATATATGAAATAGTTGATAACTACATTTAGCACTCGTTTTATCAACTGCTGGATGTTGGATTACATGTACCGGTATGGGAAGGTGGCATGTCTAGGTTTGGATTAGTTCAAAATACAAAATCCTGCCTACATGGAATAAGGAAATGGATTATAAAATAAATCCTACTTATACTTAAGTCAAAGAAGCTGCACAAGCTAAATGACTAACTGGATTACTTGTTATCTATGTTACGTCAAAGAAGCTGCACAAGCTGAATGACTAACTGGATTTCTTATGTATGGGTATGATAGGATTTTAAATATATTTTTATGGTACCGCGATATGAGCTTGAGTCTCAGAGTCGTCGGTTAGGGAGCGTATATGCAGTAGGATGCGTAGCTGGATATGCTAGGTTGAGGTATACCCTGTTAGGCTTAGGTACTTATGCCCACCCAGGTGCGCTTTGCATGTTGCATTCTATTCAGGTTGAGACCCCCTGCATAGTCCAGTGAGAGTCCTATAGTGTAACTATATATGTATATACACGGCTTATATAGATATTATTGAGTTGGTTAGAATGTATATGCGTATCGAGTCTCTGTTTGGATTGTAGTAGGATAGAACTTGTTCGTGGGCCTAACCCACTTCTATTTTTCAGGTACTCGACAGTTCCAGACTTAGACCTGATCGTGCTGAGCAGAGATTACTACTCACTCTTCCGACGACGTAGGACTTCTCTCCATGGTTTACTCTAGATTTAGTTTGGATTTTTTTAAGGGTCCACTAGAGATGGATTCCCGAGTTGTTTAAACTATTGAAGGTTTTGGATTACTGAATTTAAGTATTTATTTTTAAAGGATTTTATTTTAGTTTTTTCTAGCTGTTAATTATTTCTTATTTCATTTTGTATTCCGTGTTCGTTTTAAATACTTTAATTGTTTGATATTTCCTCGGATTTGGGCTTGGGTCTGATCAACCCGTGTCTCGGATCCGAGGGGTATCACATCCCACTCCCTTGGATGATTCTCAATCATCTTCTCAAAGATATTGAGAATTACTTTGTTGGAAGCCTCAGCTTGTCCATTTGATTGGGCAAAATATAGAGTGGAACTGATCACTTGGATGCCACACTTAGCACAATAATCAAGAACTTTATTTCCAACAAAGGAAAGTCCTCTGTCAGTGGTGATAGTCTCTAGAATTACAAACCTATGAATAATGTGCTTCCTGATAAAATCAATCACTGTTGGTTGCTCACAGGTCTTTAATGGAATAGCCTTCACCCATTTTGTAAAATAGTCCGTTGCTACCACAATATAAGTATGTCCATCTGCAGATGGTGGTGTTAACTTTCCAATAAAGTCCAAAGCCCATCCTCTGAATGGCCATATTTTTACTACTGGCTACATGTTGATAGCTGGAACTCTTTGGACCGGGCCATGTTTCTAACATACAATACAAGTCTTTGCAAACTCTATGCAATCCTTTAGTATACCCTTCCAATAATAACCGTACCTTCTCAAAAGCCACCTCATTTTGATCCCAGCTTGATGTGCTCCGCATATTCCAAGGTGTGATTCTGCCATCAATCTCATGGACTCACTTCTGCCAAGACATCTTAGCAAAAACTCATCTTCTTTACTCTTCCTGTATAGATCTCCATCGATCAAAATATAATAAGGTGCCAAAAGCTGAATTCTTTTGTCCACATTGGTACTAGGCTCCTACAAGAAATGGATGATTGGTGTTCTCCAATCTTCCAAGTCTAAACCATCTATATCAACATTGAAAATCTCCCATGTTTTCTTGGCAGGCTTGATCCTTTCTGGCTCATCAGCTTGGAAATGACTTGCCATCTCATACCGTGACTCTATAGAAGGGATAGTCTTTCTTTTGATTGTGATTAAAGTTTTTTCTACACCCGGTGGGACTTTCACTCTAGAAGCTAGCTGTGCTAAATCATCAGCCTCTGTATTCAAATGTCTTGGCCAATATTTGAGTTGAAAGTCATCAAATTGGCAGAGTAATTCGAAGGCCAAAGAATGGAAAGGCCTCAAATGCTAGTTAAGACACCTATATTCTTCAGAAAGTTGGCTACACCTATATTCTTCAGAAAGTTGGCTGAGTATCAAATTTGAATCTCCAATAATCTGAACCTTCTTTACTTTTAGCTCCAATAGGATTTTCAACCCAATAATTAGCGCCTCATACTCAGCTTGGTTATTTGTACACTTGAAATCCAAAAAGAAAGAAAATGTGGTTTTTCTCCCCTTTGGTGAAATGATGACTATTCCAGCTCCTCCTCTATCATGAGTGCTTGATCCATCAAACATGAGAGTCCAAGGTGTATAATCAAGGTAGAGATTATCCACCTCGTCACATATTTCTGAATCAATCTTGGTGGAATGATGGTCTGCTAGAAATTCTGCCACCGCCCTTCCTTTGACTGCCTTTTGTGGAATATACTTGAAGGAAAACTCCATTAAGGCTAATGACTACTTTCCAATACGTCCAGTGATCAAAGGCCTTGAAAGCATATACTTAATCAAATCTGTTTGAGAAATGATATATACGGCCACTGGCAACATATAAGTTCTTAACTTCATAGCTGCATAGTATAAGGAAAGGCACAACTTTTCAATAGAAGCATACCTACATTCCACTGGAGTGAGCACCCTACTTAGATAATAAATGGCTTGCTCTTTTCCCCATTCATTGTTTTGAGCTAGAAGAGTTCTAATAGATTCATCGGCGGCCGATAAGTATAATCTTAGAGGCCGTTTCTTGATTGAAGGCATCATCACTGGAAGGTTGGCCAAGTAGCTTTTCAAACCTTCAAAGGCTTACTAGTGCTGTTCCGTCCACTTAAACTCCTCAGCACCTTTCAATTTCAACAATGGGGAGAAAGCATGAGTCTTTCCAGCATGGTTGGCAATGAATCTCCTCAAATATCCAACCTGGCCAAAAAATCTTTGTAGTTCTTTCTTAGTGGCCGGTGGCTTTGTTTCAATAATTGCCTTTGCTTTATTTTGGTCTACTTCAATACCTCTTTGATGGACTAGAAAACCCAGGAAGTTTCCAGCTGAAACCCCAAAGGCACACTTAAATGGATTCATTTTTAACTTGTGCTGCCTCATTATTTCAAAAGCCATTTTTAAGTTATGGAGATGTTAAGCCTTGGCCGAGGATTTGATGACTACATCATCAATGTAGACTTCTAAGAAAAGGCCGATCATGTCATGGAAAATGGCATTCATGGCCCTTTGATATGTTGCTTCGGCATTCTTCAATCCAGATGGCATGACAACCCATTCAAAGGTTCCAGTGGATCCTGGACATCTGAAAGCCGTCTTGGCAATGTCTTCTTCCGCAATATAAATCTGGTTATACCTGGAATGCCCATCCATGAAAGAAAGAATTTCATTCTTGGTAGCAGAATCTACTAATTGGTCAGCAATATGCATGGGGTATTCATCTTTTGGAGTTGCAAGATTGATATTCCGGAAATCCACACATACCTTTAGCTTGCTATTTTTCTTAATAACTGGAACTATATTGGAAATCCAATCAACATACCTGGCGGTTCTTATAAAACCAGCCTTGTGTGGCCTTTCTATCTCTTCTTTGACCTTTAGAATAACTTCCTAGGACATCCTTCTTAGAGGCTGCTTGAAAGGCTTGAAACTTTCCTTGATTGGCAACTTATGCTCTACCAGCTCTCTGGAAAGTCCTGGCATCTCCTCATATGTCCATGCAAAGCAATCTTTGTATTCTTCAAGTAAGGAAATCAATTATTCTCTAAAGGTTGGTTCCAAAAACTTACTAATGTAGGTTAGCCAAGGATCCTGTTCCGAACCAAGATTAACTTCCAAAAGTGGATCTTGTACTTCGGCCTTGAGATTGTCTAACTTAATTGGCGTTGCCTTCAAGTCTGTCAGCTGGATAACATCCAGCTTGTCTTCAGTATCTTCCATAATCTCCAAAACATTGGTTGAAAATGAAGTACCATCAACAGTAGCCCTTTCCAGCCGTAGTCCGGCTAGATATGCTTTCAACTTGGCAAGGCAGCAATTAACCGTCTGGCCAAGCACTCTATCTTCTTTAGGTTTCTCTTCCATAAAAACTTTTGTTTGAAATGTAGTGCTGAACACCGGCCTTGGGTAGAATTGTTGGCTTTGGTGTTTCTTGGAAAAGCTCTCTTACATCTTCTTCCGTAAGAGTTCTTCTCATGGTGGCCTTCCTTGGACGGCCCTTGCTATCATTTCCAATAAATCTGATTGGAATGAATTCTTCATTATACAACTCAGCATCTACATGGTAAACCCTTGCCACAAATGGCCAGCTATCAGCTTCCATCACTTTTACCTCATCTCCATCCCAAATTATTAGCATTTGATGGAGTGAAGATGGAATGCAAAAATTTGGGTGAATCCTTTTGCGGCCCAAAAGCAAGTTATATGCCGCTGTAGATTCAATAACAAAGAAGGTTGTGATGGACGTTCTATATCCCACCGTTAATTCCAAAGGTAGAATGCCTTGTGTCTTCACTATTCCTCCCGTGAATCCACTAATGGATACATCAGTTGGAATGATATCTTCAGGAGACTTTCCAAGCATGCGCATAACATTGACTAGAACAACATTCAATACCGAACCATTGTCCACCAGAACTCTTGCCAAGGGCCTTCCTTCCACTAGTACCTTAATATACAAAGGTTTGAGCTGCTGAGTCATGCCATAAGGTGGCTTTTCCAACATAATTTTCTTTGGCCTTGTGGGGCTGTTCTCTTCAATCACAACCCCCCTTAATTTTTGAAAATGCCCAGCTTCATCTTCAAAGACCTCTTCTATATGAATACCATTATTTGGTTCCATAATGGTTGGCCTAGAACTAGACTATCTAGGGCTTTCCATGGGAGGACTTGTATCTACTATATCTTCTTCCATTGAATTGGGCTGATTTGGCTGTGGCTCAAAAAATAAGGGAAGAACCACTACCATATTGCAAGTAAATTCACCTGGAAGGCTCCCAAAATAGATTTTCTTGCTGCTGCTGGAACTGTTGGGAATTTCCAAATCTATTTTATCTTTTGTAGAAGGATTGTCTGCAGTTAAGGAATTTCCAACCTCTGAAACCAAATCCAATAAATTATCAGGATCTCTAACCCCTCCTTTAGCTGGAAGTTCAGAAAAGTCTGATAGCTTAGTAGTCTTCTTTGACCAATTAGTCCAACTATGGTCTTTCTCCCATAATTTCCTTCTATTAGCCCTCTTCCTTTGCTGCCTTCGCTTTTGTGTGCGGGTCATATAAGAGTCATCATGAATGGGAAACTTGGAATGATCAAGCCTTCTCCACTCCTCATCTTGCGAGGTAGGAGGTCTAACCATTCTTGGTCGGAGATACTCACTCCCCCTCCTTACCCATACCTCCGAGGCCATTTTTGGCCTGGAATGCATGTCACCTTCAGAACCTCTATCTTGCTATCTACTACTTTCAAACTTTCTGCTTGGACGAGGCCCTGTCTGATAGGAAATTCTATTCCTTTCCATACTCCTTGGAAGGTATTCTGATCTCCTTTCTGTTGCCCTTCTTTCTGGATGGATCCGGCTTTCCTTCTCTGGAATAGTTATAGTAACTGTGTTTTCTACCTTTTGGAAAGTCAGCCGGTCATGGACCTTCCTTTTTTGGCCACGGTTATCATTGGACAGATTATCCTCTAGAACATTTCTATGACAACCTTCATTCTGAATCTTACACTTGGGGCAATAACCTTATTGGATTAAGGCTATTTGAGCCTCACGGAGTTGCCTTTCCAACTCGACCACCGTTTTCTCCAAGGATGCTGCAGCTTCAAGCTTTTTAAGTTTTCCACTAGCTCTTGAATCTGCCAAGTCCACCTTTTTCTTAGGGTGTTCCGTGGCAAGGGAAGTAACATTTATGGCAACAACCTTAGGGAAAGGATTTTCATCAACATCCATGACTTCTATTTTTTCTGGAAACTTCAACCTGCCATTTTTAATCGCCTTTTGCACTATGTTACGAAAAATCACACAATTATTAGTGGAATGCCTCCATGAATTATGAAATTTGCAATACTCTTTCTCGGCCATTTCTGAGGCCGATGGCATCTTGTGGCCTGTTGTGAAAATCAGTTGCTTGTCAGCCATGAGCAAATAAAAAATTTGCTCGACTTTAGAGATGTCAAAAGAATAACTCTTGGAAGGGTTTGCTCCCTTCCACTTGGAACCAGAAGCAGTTGCAATTTGGCCGTGGCTGACTTTGGTTTTGTCAAAGCCTCACAAGTATAAGCCTTTTTTATGTTGAGCTCAGCTACATTTACTTCAAACTCCCCTTCAGTTTTAGTGGTATACACCTCATAATTAAGATCACAATAGTAAGTGCCCTTGGAAGAACTCTTCCGGTCTTACTCCTCACGAAGGAGCTCTTCATACTTAGCCACTCTGCCGACCAAGTTAAATAAGCCATGAAATTGTACACCTTCAAACTTTTTGCGAAGTTCAAATTCTAGGCCGTTCACAGCCATCTTCACATATTCTTCTGGTGGCAAAGACAAATTACATTTAAACTTGGCTCGCCTGAATCTAGAAAGGAAACTCATCACAGACGCTCCAGGTAGTTGATGAAGTCTGGAAAGGTCTGCCATGGATACTTCAAGCTCAGCTCTATAGAACTGAGTATGGAATAAATCCTCAAATTACTGCCAACTTTGAATAAAGTTGGTTGGCAAGTTGGAATACCACCTGAAAGCGTATCCAGTTAGTGTGTTTGGAAACAAATGTACTTTCAACCATGGATTGGCTGCTGCTTCTCCACATTGGACAGTGAACCAACTGATATGTTCCAAGGTAGACTGTTCGCCTTCTCCATTGAACGTTGCAAACTCTGGAATTCTGAAATTCCTTGGAAATTCAACTTCATCAATGAACTCTGGATAGGGCTTTCTGTAGTTGGCCTTTCACCCCTTCGAGTTAGGCCAAATTCCTATTGAAGGAATTCTGCAAATTGGCCTCTATCAAGCACCATAGGTTGTGGAAAGTTGTTGTCTGGCCAACCTTGAGATTAATTGGCCACTTGATGCCCCCCACCTGCCATAAGCAAGGGGTTGGTATCTGCATAGTTGTTCCTGCCATGGTTCCTTCCTCCTTGGTCAAGAAATGGATCCTTTGGAAAAGGTTGCCCCCCAACCGCCATAGGAATGACCATGGGTGGCCTTGCTGGAACAGGTGCGGCTGGTTGAATGTTCACAGGTGGAACATTCTGTTATGCTTGAGGGTTGTGGTATGGCCATGGTTGGCCAGGCTGATCATGCCAAGTCTGTTGTGGAAATGCCACAAGAGGAAGATTTTGAACTTGCTGGATGGTTGGCATAGGCGCAGCTTATGGAACAGTCATCTGTGCCACTGGAGCAGTCACAGGTGTAGCTGGAGTGTAAGTCTGTGCCATTGGAAGGGATTGCTCCTG